TCTTTCCTTTTAGTGCTTGTTTGGTCCCTAAATACAACTTGAAGTACCTCCTGCAAATCCTCTCCTTGATATTAAGCACTGAGTTCAGCTTCTGCTTTAATCATGAGGGAAGGGTAGATTCTCTGTACGTTTGGTCCACAGATATCTTAGACAACAACAGGGTCAGAATACAAACAAATAAAAACAGAATTCAAACAAAACTAGAACACCTTCCAGAAGGATCTCTCCACATGCTACCCAAATTCCATTTTACCACCGCAGAGAGCTCATCCTGGTTGCGTGATGGATTTCTTTTATTTTTTTAATCCTAGACTGCAACAAATACTATGAATTAATGAGAGGAGAGTTAGTCCTAGGCAGCCACAGAATCACATGGAATTTAAAGAGAAAAAGTAGGATATGCTGAGAAGGTTTGTGTTTCCGACTATCCACAGAATTGGGAAAAAGATCAAGTAACCTCATCCTTGTTTGCTTTTTTTATTAGAAATCTCCCTCCTTGGCTTCCAGAGCAGCCTGGCCCTGTTACCACTTCAGTTGAGGCAGCAGGAGAGAGGATAAGGAAAAATGTTGCTGGAAATTTTCAGGTCATAAACTATTTTCTCCCCACGTACAAGAACTGAGTTTCCAGCCAGAGGTTTGGGCTCATTTCAACCCACGTGGCCTCGTGGATTAATTCAGAAGTTGGCTTCAGAGAAGCACCCAGGAGAGTGAGGAATTGGGCTGCACGGATCAGCTCTGGAAGCTGCTTGGAGGCACCTTCCCTCTGCCCATCGTTGGGCAGCAGTCATTTCATGGGCTGTTCCTTTTAGCAAGACCTCGGTGTTAGAAATACTGCACTGTACACCTAGGATATCCCAAACATAAAACAGATGTTCATCTTGTCCACTGATCACTTTATTGCTTTCTAGTTTATGTCATGCCCGAATGAGCTTTTTATTGAGTGTACTTAATCGTGTTTGGACTCAAATGTCCTCTGCCTCTGTTCCATATTTTCTTTGAACGTCTGTTTTTAGAGATTAATCTTTTCTGAGACAAATGGAAAGGGAGTGATTTGCAAGACACAAGCCAGTGTAATTAAGAGCCCAGAGCAGCTGACCTGAAAAAAGCAACACTGAAAAATACAGTCAATTGATAAGCATAAATTACACATAATTATGTCCAATTGTCTCTTAAGAAAACCAGATCTTTCTCATGTCTTGGACATGATCATGTCTCATGCATTCATTGAATCATGTCTCAGACATTGTACTGAGGAATTTTACACGTGGCATATTCTTCCACTGAGAAGTTTGCAACTCTGTGGAAGATAGAATCAGAGTGAAGAAGGTTTAAATAGGATTAGGCTCAAGCACTAATGTCAGAGAAGTGATGCATTTAGATATCTCATCAGGCTGTACCCCAAATCAAATCAGCAAGGAACTGGAGTGGAAGGGATACTGCTGCTTCCTCTCCTCACCTCCCCAGCCTCTCCCTGTCCCTGTCCTTCTTCTTGCAGCCTCAGCCACATTATCCAGGTGCATTTCCAGTAACTAAAAGGTAAGCGGTATGAACTTTCATTAGTAGTGCAGCCAGCCAGGCAGTCATAGCTGGTGCAGTCCTTGGAAATTAGACGTTCTCATCATTCAGGATACAGCCCACAGAGGTCAAAGAGCCAGATGAACTACAGAGAAGTATTTGTACTGCTAGACTTCACATTGATTTGAGTTAGCCTGGACCTTCCTTGAGTTTGTCCAAGGAATCCCCTCCACCCACAGCAGTAGCATAAGGAGAGCCATGTATTCCTTTTGCATGAGCTTTGCAAGATTGGGGAAATAACTCATCCTTGTGCCTCAGGACATGAGCCCACTCCTGATAAGGAGAAAGAGACTGCTCACAATTACATACTTATTTGCATTACAGAGCTCCATAAACCTTCTACCCACTGTACCACTTGCCACAGCCAAGAGACAGCACAGGGGAGCAAGCAGCTGCAGGTGGGACCCATCTGCACCTTCTGCAACCTCACTGTGATGGAGAAGACATGAAATGATGATAATACTCTGTCCAGCATCTGAGCCTTGGCTCGTAATTCAAATGGGTATTAATGGTGGAGGGGAGAGATGAAACCTAAATCTGCTGCTCCAGAAATGGCAAAATGAATGTTTATACTTGGTAGTCCTTCCTGATTGAAGAGCTCCTTCTTGTCCATGCACTAAATTTGAAAAACAACAGAGAAATCCCACAGACACCCAAATGTGACCAGGAAGACAACAGAAAGGGTTTCAGTTTTTCTTCAGATTTTGAAGAAAGGCAACAGAAACACTTATTCCTGCAACACTGCCTTTTCCCCATCTTGCTCTCCGTCATACTAGTGAGGCAATCACAGTGATAAAGTTTATTAGTTAGGGAGCTGTGGCATTCACCTGCTCCATCGTGGGATTGCAACACTGGAGGAACAAGTGTGAGGTAGGCACCTGGCTTAGCTCACTTCAGGTATCTGAGCAAGGACAACGCCAAATTTTGTAGTTCTGTGAAACCAGACCACTTTCCAAAGAAAGAGACTTGACATCCTCCAGAGGAAGGCAGAGTTCAACAGACCAGTTTGATAAGTCCCAAACAAGATAGCAGATTAGACCTGGTGATTCTACTGCAGACAAAGAAAAAGGAAGACAGTGGACTTCTATCATATTGTGCTTGGAAGTTTGTTACATTAAGCTGCATTTGATTTATTAATTTACCTACTTACGGCACCTAAAATTTCTGCCTGCTCTCTGACAGCTCACAGTCTTTAACCTCCTACCAGTCCTACATCAAACAAAAAAGCTGTAATTGTCTGCTTGTATGAACTGAGATCAAGTCACATGGGAAAGCCACACAGGAAATCTGGAGCAAAACTGACTCTTGATTCTTCTCTTGACAATCAGTAAACCTAAATTGAAGCCTGCGGTTTCAGATTCTAACACCCCAGTTTCACAGTCTTTGTGTGTTACTGGTGTCTTTGGTGCCCAGGAGAACTAAATATTTTGCACTAGCCTCTGATTTTAGTTACAATGCCACAAAACCATGCTAACTTTGCCAGTTCCAGTTCACTTACTGTAACACTATAATGTGATGGAAAGTACAGCTATAGTAGTGGGATTGCAAAGTCTTTAGCTGCAACAGGAGGACAAACCCAAATGCAGAAGCAAAGAAAAAAGCTGCTTACCTTTATAAGGCCTCAAGTAGTCATGTATCTCCAACAAGATGCCCTTGCCTCCACTGCCAACAACAAGGTCTGAGAAGGAGAGAATCCTGACTCCACCCCTTCCAGTCACTCAGGGGCACTGTGTGCACCTGAGCACCCCTGGGTTGGCCCTGCCTTCTCACCAGGTGCTCAATCACTGGTTCAGGCCATGACTTTGCATTTCTGCTACATTCACTCAGTTCAATATTCTTTGTACTTATGGTCCTTCTATCCATTTGCAGATGCTGAAACATGAATTTTAAAATTACTTAACAGGCTCCACAAAGGGAAAGAATAGTCTGCTTCAGTAACATAGTGACCATGCAGTTTTGCTGGAGGCAGCAAGTCCAGTCTCCTACTCAGAGCTGTTCTGTGGGCCAACACTGGTTCAGATTAATCTGGGCTACACCATTTAACAGGCATAGGCTGCCAGAGAAGCTGTGGTGCCCCATCCCTGGAGGCACTTAAGGCCAGGTTGGATGGGGCTCTGTGCAGTGGAGGTCAGGGGCAGCACGGGGTGTGACTGGGTGGACTTTGAGGTCCCTTCCAACTCAAGCCATTCTATGATTTCTTATCATTTTGTACACAGACCATTAGTCTGAATCTAGCAGCAGACTTTTATTGATTTTTACTGACTTTCTGAGTCTACATAATCTGAAGAGAAGGCAAACATACACACTATTTAATATGTGCAAGAGGGATGTATTGCCTGAGTCATGTGTTGATTCTCTGAAGCTACCTATGGTCATATTATTGTGTTATTTGTAACTGTGAATCCTGAGGTGTGCTGCAAGCTGAAGATAGCAAATGGAGAAATGCTGACTCCATAGTGGCACATCTGGACCTTAAAGTATTAGAGATGAATTTGAACATCTGTATAATGAGAGGAGCTCAGAGAGATTGCAGAGAAAAGAGCTGGATAGGGCCGTGAAGAAAAAGTATTTGTTCTGTACACATCTCTTTCCCCAGTGGCTGCTCAAACTGACGAGGTGATGTGAGGAAACCCACCAGGTCATGCTCCCGTGCCAGGGCACAGTAGGCAGCACTTCTGAGAGGCCCTGTCTGCACATTGTGAAACACCCTCAACTCTCACAGACATGGAAACTGGGGCACTTGGCTCCCAGAGGCTTGTGCTCAACAGAACAGTTCAGCTGCAAGCCTTCATCGAGCCTGACAGACTCTGCAAACCCTACTCTTGCTGGAAGGAGCCATAAAGCTTTCACCATGTTCAGCAACACTAGGCTGTGTCTGCTTCCTGGAGCACCATAGGCTCTGTATAGGCTCACTCACATCTCCCTATCCTTGCTGCTCTCAGCAGGGTCATGTGCCTGACATGGAGAGGAAAATCTGCAGAGGCTGCAGTTGGGACTTTGCTAGATAGAGAAAGGGGATGTTTCACAAGTTGGTGCTCAGGAAAGCTGACAAGGCCTAAAATAGCAGGTGGCTCTTCTCCCAGGCTGCTGCCCATGTGAAGGGCATACTTAAGACACCTGTGTCCATCTGCAGTACCAAAGCTAACAACTGATGCAAAGAGCTGAACAAAGATAATAATTTCTAACATGAGACTCGTCGAATCTCTTACATAGTAAGTTACAGACTGACCACGTCTTGTGTGACTGAAGGATACAGTCAGCCTTTTCTAGGTTCAATCAAAAGCTGAACTAAAATGTTCACTTTATATGTGGGAATTAATCTCGTAATTCCGCTCCTGCTTGAAACAGCTCGAAACAAATGCCCTGGTTATCTGCCCTTGTTTGCAGATAGCACCTCATGAGAGTTCCTCTCTGCTTTCTTTCAGAACCATGACCGCACGTGCATTGCGTGCAGAATCATCTACCGCTCAGATGAGCACCACCCACCCATCCTGCCCCCCAAGGCAGACCTGACCATCGGGCTGCATGGCGAGTGGGTGAGCCAGCGCTGTGAGGTGCGGCCGGAGGTCCTCTTCCTCACGCGGCACTTCATCTTCCATGACAACAACAACACGTGGGAGGGCCACTACTACCACTACTCAGACCCCATCTGCAAGCATCCCACCTTCACCATCTATGCCAAAGGCCGCTACAGCCGAGGAGTGCACTCAGCCAAAGTGATGGGCGGAACAGAGTTTGTCTTCAAAGGTAGTGTGGGGGCAGAGGTGGCCACATAGCTGGGGATCAAAGCAGAGCTTGCTCACCACAATTCCGTGACTAAACAACTTAACTCTTGTTATTTGTGGGACTATTTTATGATTATTCTTGGGAGTTATTTAATGGGAGGCTCTTTTGGAAGGCTTTCTGTGAGCACCCAGCCAAACTGTCCAGCTGCATGGCATTTTTTGCCATTGAGGCAATACTCAGTTGATGATCATTGGTGTCCCTTCAACCCAAAGTCCTTCTATGATCTTATGGTTCATTTGAGGCAAAAAACAGAAATCTCTAAGTAAGACACAATAAAGTAAGATCTTGTGTCACTATCTGTTGGAGTCCAGTAGCCAGACATCAAGCATCTAATCAAAATTCTCAGGATTAGATCCATGTCCTAGGGCTCCTTCAGTGGACAGAAAAGGGCCATAGGTGATATAAATTTTCTGGGAAGACAGATACAGCAGTGTGTGTCATTTCATCAGCATCCAAGGGCCTAGAGCAAGTAGGGATGTCTCCAAAGCCAGCTTTGATTAATCCCACCACAGTGCAGACTAGATGTATCTAAGTGAACCCCCTCAAGTACTCCAGGAAGCGGCACTTGGTGACACTTTCCAGGTCCCTGAAAAGTCATCTCATACCAACAGCCTCGTGGCAGCCTGCTCAGAAAGAGCTCAGTGGTTTTAACCACTTACACAAACAAACATCTCCAAAACACAACATCCATCCATAGCACCAGCCTCAGCAGAGCATGTGAAAACCCCAACCATGCTGTAGGCTCCTCTCCTCCTCCTTTTAGTTACTATGTGAGAAGCATATAGACTTCCTGCATGTCTCCAATTTAGGAAAGCAGTTATAAGAAAGGATGTACTGATCTGGGATTTCCATAGGAGGCAGGATATCCTTGCCTGTCAGAGCTTTTGCTCTTCTTAGTTTTATGCAACACATTCCAGCTCAGCTCCAGTTTTTGCTTGAATTTCATGATTATAATATGCCAGCTTGCCTCACAGAACAAGGTCACTGATTTTGTTCTGGTAAAATTTTCAGGTCACTCTCTATAGATTATCTCTTATGCCAGCCAGGACAACAAGTGTCGAGCCATTGAATCAAATATCTGCTTATAAAACCTCAGAATAAAATTTCCAACAAGTATAAAAAGACATGCACATTGTTAATGGCCTGCAAAAGAATCTGGAGATTGGTGTGTTAGGAGGCTTGAGGGTTGGTTATTCACTTCTGTTTTGGTCAGCAGCAATCCATTTGGAACTTTTTTCTTGATACAATACTAAAAGCACACAAAGTATCTCTGTTCACCTTCCACAGGCCCATTCAGTTTGGCTTTTCCCAGCTTCTTAAACTCAGCTGAAAAGTAAGACTTAACACACCTGAAGTAACTTAAAGTGAAGAAGCTGCAACATATCTGTTTGATATTGCAGCCACTGTTTAGATAAGATCCCCAACAATCAGAAATACTTCAGTCATGAAAAAAAAAAAAAAAAGTGGACAGGTAATAATATATAGAGAATGTGGTATTTTACAAATTTTCCAATTCCAATTGTTATTTCCCTAGCTTTACATGTGTTTAAAAATGGTAAATGTAGGTTATAAGTAACCCTCCTTCTGGTTTAATAGGGATGTTAATAAAATATGAGTAGAGTTTTCTCACTTCCTCTTTAATGCATCTCAACTAGGCTTTATCTGGGAAGGATTGCCTGGAATTTATGTAAAGCTCTGCTTAATCTCTGACTGAGATATGGAGCCATCAGGTTTTTTCCAGCTGAATGTTTGGGTGCGTGTGCATTCTCTACAAGAAGTAATTACACCGAGATGTAAAACAATGCATAGATTTGCTGGCCATACCTGCAATGTTAAAAAAAAAAAAAAGAGAGATTTAAGGAAAAAGATTCAGAGCTGCGATAACTCCTATTAGTTAGATTAAAGGACAGGCCAACATAAATTCAGGAAGCACCAGCACGTACATTGAGATGCATTCAAAATAGCCTTATCCCTTGGTTTCTAAATGCATTAAGCAGTACATCTGACTTGAACCCTCCATGACATCACTAGCATTAGTTGTTATGAACAGAGACAAAGGGGTCAGTTTTGGAAGGGTTTTGCAGTTTCCTCAGTAACCATAGCGTGCACTGATTGAATGCTAAGGTTGTGCCTGCAGAGGATGTGGAGCATGCTGTGCAGAGCGGGCAGGCGGAAGAGTCATAAGGCTGATGTCAGCGTGTCACCTTTGCTTTCATCTCTGTTTCTCTGCTAACAGTTCTTCTCTTCCTCACTCACAGTGAACCACATGAAGGTCACACCGATGGACGTGTCCACAGCCTCTCTGCTCAACGTCTTCAATGGGAACGAGTGCGGAGCGCAGGGCTCCTGGCAAGTCGGGGTGCAGCAAGACGTCACCCACACCAACGGCTGCATCGCGCTTGGCATCCGCCTGCCTCACACCGAGTATGAAATCTTCAAGATGGAGCAGGATGCCAGGGGCAGGTACTTGCTGTATAATGGCCAGCGACCCAGCGATGGCTCCAGCCCCGACCGACCGGAAAAGAGAGCCACGTCCTACCAGATGCCTTTAATTCAGTGCGCTTCATCCGTACCCAGATCTGAAGAGTCACCAGAGGAGAATAAAATACGGCTGTATAGCAGCGGGGCACCAGCAAAACATCCCAGTGCCTCAGTTCTTGCTTTGGTGTTGTTTATTTGTACTGTGTCATATTGGGACATTCTCAGCTAGAAGTGAAAAAACTATTTTTCATGACTACAAAGCCAGGATTCCACAGACTGAGGGTTGTTTTTCTTCAGAAAGAAAGGGACGTTTATTTTCTTGATGCACTTGAATGCCTGAGAACTGTTGTTCTTTTCCTTATTTCCCCCCCTCCCTGAATCACGAACGGCACTCGTTTGATGTTTGTGCTTTGAACTTCATCCAGTCTGATCCCTGGCCTGACATGACTGCACAAAAGTAATTGCACTTTAGGACTGCAGACTTCTGGGGGGCGGGAGGGGGTCTCCTTTTATTTTTTATTTTTTATTTTTTTAACTGCTGGGGTGAACGTTGTGATCCTGCTTCATTGTCTCTGCCATTTTACCATTGTGGTACTGCTCTGCCCAACGCTCAGTTTCTCATCAGAATTTAACTCCATGAAACAAATCAGTGACAGCGGTTTCCTCTTGGCTTCAGGATTCTGGTAGAGATGTGTATATAGGATGGAAACCCACACAGACTTACCTGGTCATGATCTCACAGCACAACACAGAAAGAAACAGCAAGTCAACAGCCCTCCGCTGAGATAGTGCTAAATGGTCAATATCTCCAATTAAAAGATATTCCAAGTAATTTAAACTGTTTCACAGTCATCAAATTGTAAAAATAACCAGTGGTTTGATATTTTCTCATTCAACTTTGTTAGCTGCATAATTGCTTCAACACTTTCTTATATATCTAGCGAGTGGTTATAACCAAGTCCCCTTAAAGCCAGACAGGAGCAGCATTTTTTTTCTGTCAGATATACACAGCACAGGTAAGTTGCTGATGAAAGTCTTCAGTGACATGCTCCATTGCCATATTCGTGAGGTCTTATATACCCCATGCACAGTGTTTGTGCCTTTGGGTGCTGTATCAACCAGGTGGGTGAATGAAAGCAGCAGATCTAAAGACATGCAGCCCTACTTAGCCACCTGGTTTCAGTGATGTAAGTGGTCTTTTTTGGAACAAGTGACGGAATCCCAGCAGCTCAGCAGCAAGCCCACCATGGGCCCCTGTACTGCTCCTACTTTAGAAAGCAAGAATGCAGCAGGAAGCAGGCCCCCATAGTCTGATGGATGGAGACCAGCTCTGCCTACCAGAGCCATGAGCAGGAGTTGCATGAACACCACTGCCTCCCCGCTTTTCTCCTTGCTAGCAGTCCCAACATGCACTGTGGTTTCACCAAGCTTGAACCCACATCAATTTGGGCAGACACTGCTGGCAGAGTTGGATAGATAGAGCCCTCAGATTATGTGTTCTATCAGCAGCAGCTTGCCCTGAAACCCACAGATATCCCCTGTGGTCAATACATCCTCATAAACATACTGACACAAGTGAAAGCAGAGTGAGGGAGGTGTTCAGGGCCAGCAAGGAGGTACAGTTTATGGATGAACCACAATCCCCATATTAATGGGAAGTAACTGAGAACATGGCTCAGCCTTGAGGCATTTACTGATATACTTGAGTGTGCTGGCTCCCAGAAGGAACTGAGAGAAGTACAGGGAGTGAGGTCGCAGCTCCCAGCTGACAGTCCTGTGCTACAAGAGGAAGAACCTTCTAGGGAGGTCATTCCCAGAGTCATAGGAAAAGCTCATCCTGAATAAAGCTTTCAGCTTTACATCGGTGAGTCTCCATACCGTATGCTAGAGCAAAAGCATGCTTTGGAAACAATGATAACATGGGTTTTCCTGGCCGAACAAGCAGGAAAAAGCCATCTAGGCAGCAGATGGCCATACTCAGGCTCTCTGCCTCCTCACAGTGCGTGCCTTCTGCACAGTTTGTTCCAAGCTGGAGTCAGCCTTTGGCAGGGATTTCCACAGAGTGGGAACGAAGTCCGCTCACCCACTTTTGAGGCAGTATGAGGAGGCACAATCACAGGCTCTTGCTGCCAGATCAGTCACATCCTTCACACTTGTTCTCAGGCATGAAAAACTGAAGAAAGCCCATGAAAGCTCAAGAGTCAGAATCGGAGGCCAGGATGACTCAGCAGTGCTCATCCACACACCTGATACCAGATTCTCCTTCAGCCTGACAGAAGGAGCTGAAAGCCAGCTCACTATGGCAAGTCAAGCCTTAAGAAGCAGAAGGGAGCTTGGTTTTCTCAAGCTAGACCTCATTTTTATAGTCAGCAGATATCCACCAGCACATCTCCAGATGAGTTATTGAGCTATTTCAAGATCCCAGACACATCTCTTCAAACAGTGGCTTAGCTTCTCATTTTTGTTTAAGACTTAGCTGCGTGAGCGAGTACCTGTTAGTTCTTACATGTAAAGATGTGCCTGGTGTGGCTTCCCTTTGACCACATGAGACAAGCTTCTTTTACCACCAACAAGGTAGTTAGTGATGAAGTTGGTAGTTTGGTAGTCTCATCTCTGGAAAATACAAATATCTGAGAGCTGTTAAACCCTGATCCTTCCCTATGTACATGCTAGACACAGCTGAGTCCTGGCTGAAACCCAACCGTCCCAGTAAAGCAGGCCTGAAGCCAATGCCAAGGAGCCACCCCATAGCACCACGTTCTGTAGTCACCAGGGCAAGGGGCCACAGCTGATTACTGCTTTAATTGCTTAATGTCAGGAGTCTTACAACAGTCTCAAGAGAACTTCAAGCTCAAAGATTTAGGTTAGATACAAGGAAAAGATATTTTGCAGTGAGGGCGATGAGGCACTGGAACAGGTTGCCCAGTGATGTAGTAGATGCCTGGCGACTTTCAAGGCGAGGCTGGATCAGGCGCTGGGCAACCTGCTCTAGTGTCCCTGTTCAGTGCAGGGGAGTTGGAATAGATGGCCCTCAGGTCCCTTCCAAGGATTCTGTGATTCTTTAACTACCTGTCTTGTTCTTACCTCAAAAAAGTGCATTCACATGTGCACCACAACACTTAAATCCTTGTTACGAAGCACAGGCTTGCAAAGATCTAGGTTTGCCAAGACATGGGGCTACACTATATACAAACACGACACAGACTGTGCAAATTGTACAAGAAATGAATTTCTTTTTCCTATCATTTAGAGATGGTTAAAAAGGAAGCACTAGAAAAAAACCTTCATAATGCATTGCAAATGATCCAGTTCAGGTTTGTTTTGGCTCTGGTAAACAATGGCTCTGCTGGTTTATTTGTATCACTGACTTGAAACATAATTCTTAGCATGTGCTGCACCGTCTCGGGTCTATATTTTCCCCTTATTTTGCTGTTAGCCAACAGAAGCCAAGTTGGACAAAGTTATGTCAGCCTTTGGAGCACGCGGTTTATTTGTCAATCCCTGTGCTCTGTGAGGGTTCTGCTTGGTTACAGGCACAGAACTAGGCACTGAACTCCCCTGATCTTCCCATTTCATCAGGCACTAAATTAACCGCTGCACGGCATATGCATTTGTGATACAATATATTCCATTCATTTTGTTCCATCAGCCTGACCTCATGTGCTGGCAGCCCTGACTGCTAAAGGAGTTAAGCAGCAAGTGCCTTAGCAGCAAACTGAGCAACTTGTCACATCCCAAAGCTCAGCAGCTTTAACGTGAAACAGTGGATGGTGGCATGTTCATTGATCACCAAGAGAGGTGAATGCTCACTTCCCCTTAGCACCACAGTGATGTCCTACTCAAAGACCAACTGGCAGGACCCGTCTGAAGAAGCTCTTAGGCAAACTCTTTGAAGACTTTCTGGTTTTAAAAGGGGATAGAAGGAATTGAAAAGCTGTACCACGTCTTCCTGCTCTGTTTCTGTATCGTTTACGCGTTGTGCCTACTGCACTGGGGTAGGATATCATTTTGCTGAGCAGAGGTCCGCAGTTTAAAATGTAGTGTCTGTTTTGCTGAGTTGGAGTGTGCTTGCTTCATGTGCAGGATTTAAAAGAAAAAAAAAATCTTTATATTTTTGTAAAGCTATAGAAGGTATTTTTCTTCTCAATTCTATGTTCCAGATTAAACTGCCGGGGAAATTTTAGCACTTGTTGAACTATTGGTTGAAATAAAAAAAAAGCCTAATTGAAAAATGAAGGATTCCTTTGCATCCTGTGCACGTCAGTGGTCTGTTAGTTCTCCACCTCTAAAGGCTGATACATGGCTCAGGATGCAGCATCCCTCTGTTGAGGGATATGTGCAGAGAGAAGCTCCTTTCTTAGTGCCTTTGGCTGCAAACTTGACACTGGCAGCTGCCCTGGTGAAGGCATCTGGGATGCCCCAGGTCTCACAGCTCATCCTTGGGCTCTGTGAGCAAAGTCAGCTGTGCTGCCGGCTGGAAGCACACCACAAGCAGTAACAGCCACAGCTTGTGAGGCTGGGGAAGTGGCATGTCCGTGCAAAGGGTGTGGTTGCCACAAAAAGAAAACATTTGTCAGAAGGGATCTGTGAGCAGATGAAATGTGCCTTGCTCTAAGGGCTAAGGCCCAGGGGAGGGAGCAGAGAGGATACTTTCTTAAGGAGAAAGAAGTCCAAAATGATCCAAGAATGGAAAGCAAGGCATGAAATAACAAAAGCATCTTTCTTCAGCACTGCACCACTTCATCAGCCTCACTTGCACAAAGAGAAGAGGTGCAATGAAACCAGTGGGACTTCCACCAGCAGCTTCAAAAGGTTTGCATCTGAGAAATGACTCAGGATTTTTGGAACCATGACAGCAGATTGCTGCATGATGAGGCTGCACATCAGGAAGCATGCCCGCAATAACAAGGCACTGCAAAGGCAGCAGCCAGAGTCTGAGAGCAGGGGCCTTCCTTTCTCTTTTGTATAGAGAGGCAAAGCTGTGGGCACGGATGAATCCAAGCCTAAGTGTGCTCCATGTGTCATAATTTACCCCTCCTGACACAAAAAATGAAAAATAGGTACTAAAACACAGCACCACTCTGAATTTTGTTATTTGATTCATTTGCCATATTTTTTCCCCTCTGAGAAATATTTTCCAAGAGCTTTTTCCTTCTCTCTAGCACTCACTGTTAATTTAAAAGAAAATTACTATTTGCTGCAAGCAATAAATAATCATAGAATCGTTAAGGTTGGAAAAGACCACTAAGATCACCTAGTCCAAGCATCAGCCCACCACCACCATGCCCACTAACCATGCCCCTCAGTGCCACGTCCACACAGCTCTTGAACACCTCCAGGGATGAGGCCCAAAACTGAACACAGTAGTTGAGGTAAAGAAAGGAAATTTCTTCTCAGGCAGAAAAAAAGATGGTTGCAAGGAATCAAACCACAAGTATCCTCATTAGCTAAGGGAACACTGATTATCTAAGCTGACACTGCTCCCACAGCCCTTTCCCATGGGAACCACACAGCCCTTCCCAAGGTGTTCTGTTGGAAAATAAAGCAGCGCAAGAGAGCATTGCTTTCAAACAAAGAAAAACCTATCAATTCAAGCAGTTTGGAATTGCATCTCCTGGTCTCCCGTTGCCCTCTGCTCTGCCATCGTGAGTCCCTGTCTGGAGTACTGCGTCCAGTCCAGGGGCCCATAGAATAAAAAGGGTGCAGAGCTGTTGAAGCAAGTCCAGAGGAAGGCCACAAAGATGCTCAGATTGCTGGAGCATCTCTCCTGGGAAGAAAGGCTGAGGGAGCTGGGCTTGTT